TCAACAGCGTCGAGCACTCCTCGACGGGTAAGACGCCGTTCTTCGTGAACAACGCTCGCCACCCACGTGTTCCGGCACTTCTCGCCGTGGGTCACCCCACGGATGCTGGCGGCTCCACCCTTGGTGGGGGAGAACCTCCTTCGGTCGACATGGATGCTGAAGCTGCGCTCAGCTCTAGGGACAACGTGTCCGTGTCGTGGTCATCACCGGTACGTGAACCGGTGTCTCAGCACGCACCGGTAGCCTCACCGGTGTCAACAAGCCTGCCGGCGCACTCGACTTCAGGGTTATCTTCGGGTGTAGCCAGTGCGAACGCCCTGACTCGTTCTCCGTCCAAGCAGTCCATTGAGCCTCCTCGGCGTACTGCATCTCCGATAACGAGATGGACGTCGGAGAACTTGATCGATCCAGGCAGCAAGATTCGCGAGCAGGCAGTTACCACGGCAAACTATACACCGAAACCCTCGGTGCTTCCTGCCGATCGCTCGGCAGTTGCGGAATTCGTCATGCAAAGGCAACCCACCTCAATGTTCGTCCGCGACGCACTGCAGAACGCAGTGGACAAGCAAAAGGAACAAGCTGATAAGCACGGTCGAAAGAACGTGAATGTATTCAAGATAGGAGATCGCGTTCTCCTATCGACCGAGGGAATCCGCGCTTCCGCCGTGACCAACCTCGGCGCCAACAAACTTGCCCCACGCTTCATCGGTCCTTTTCGTGTAACCAAGGCTGTGGGCGACGCCTACACCTTGGACATCCCGTCATCACTTAGACTCCACCCGACGTTTTACGTCGGGCGACTCAAGCGGTACTTCCCTGCGACGATTCCTGATTCGAGCCAGCAGACGGAGCATGCGTCGGGCGACCAGCCCGACGAGCCTGACGCGCCAGAAAGCCGTCAGCCCCTGGCGCCCGCTCTCGCGGACGATCTCCCTGCTGGGCAGAGCCAAGCACATGCGTCCTAATCCCCGTAGGCGAGATAACAGCTCCCGATTCGACTGACGAAGCTCCGACGCGATCTGCTCAGCCCGCCAGGCACGATCTTCCGCCCGCTCATCCCCAACCTGAGCGTCCAACGCGCGGTTCGAAGCTGCCTCCACCTCGCCCTGAACGTACAGGGCGTACGCCGTATCATCGTGAAGGCCCACCACCGATAATTGACTCGGTGGGTGATGCGCGCTGGATTGTCGAGCGTATCGTTGACCACGAAGATCACCACAGCGCTACCGCTCAACGAAACGTCCGTAGTCGTGTTCCTCGCGCGGTTCCGACCGCGCGCCGCTACTTGGTACGTTGGCTCGGTTATCCCCCAGAACATAATACGTGGGAACCCCGCGCCAACCTTCTCCGCGACGTTCCGAACGTGGTCCACAAGTATGAGACCATGCTGCTTGAGAAGAAGAAATCCGCGGGTCACCCCGCGGAGACCGCGAGCGAGATCGAGAACGGCCACGAGAACGACCCGCACGAGGAGGCGACAACGATGCCGCGCTCCGACGCGTGCAACGCCGGCGTGAGCCGCCGCGATTAGCCGCCTGATCCATACTGGACAGGGTGTGCTCGTACTTTCCGATCCATCCCGACTCCTCGCCGCTGAGTGGCCGCTCAGCGAGATGTTCCCTCCATTCGCGTTGAGTCGAACGGGTTGAAGTACCACAGGACTCGCACCCCTCTCTCACGTGCACGAAGCAGAGTCGATCCAAATCCCACGCGTTGTTGCAGACCTTCACGCGCAGCTCTCCAATCGAATGATCCGCGAGGATCTCCTCGCGATACGCCAACCAGTCGACAAAGCTTTCTCCAGCACGCGACATCCGGTTCCATCGCCGGATGAAGGCACACCAAGAGCGACGAAGTCCCTCACGATCAGCGCCTTCAATGTATTTCTTCCGCGTCGCGCGGAAGTGACGAAAGTGGTTCTTCATAGTGTCTAGCGTATCCGGATTCTCCGCTCCTGACAGAGTGCGTAACAGGTTCCCAGGGGAAACCAGGGCGTGGTCACATCACGCGCGACCGGCGTGCTTCCGGCACTGAATTCTGCGTGACTGTCGGCTCCGCCGGTGTCTCGGCTGTCTGGGTTACCGCCGCCGTTAGTGCGTCGATGTTTGCTGCTGTCACCAGCGTCGCGCTGGTGCTAACGCCCGTTGACTGCGTCGTGTTGTCCTCGGCCATCTTCGCTCCGTTGGGTTTTCGAGTTTTCTTCAAATGTGCTCCGTGCGCTTATGTTGCGCAAGCGCAACTTAGAGAGGAGGGTGATGTAATGGGCTCAACTCCAATTACATAAGTAGGTAGATATTTCTTTAGTTATTACACAAGTAGGTAAAGTGGCACACGGGTAGCGTGTGCCAAAGTGTCATCATCTGATTGGTTGATAGTGAGGAGACAGACTCACTTATTGACCAATCAGATATAGACATGTGTTTGAGTGGCTCACACGAGGCCAGGGGTAGCCGCCCTGGTCCTAAATAAGTCAGAGTTGAATTTGACACAAACCTAAGACTTGGTTTTATTATTGCGAGCTTCCTCCGCACTATAGTGTAAGCTAGTAACGGTATCTCTTACCCCGTTACACCTTGAGTCGCTTCCAGAGTTGCGTCGGAGTCTGACAGATAAAGCGGTTGTGGAAACGCACCCTTAACGTCTCAAAGCTATCGATCCTCGAGTTGTACCACCATTCCTGGCCCACTTTGCCTTTCAGGCATTGCTCGAAGGCCGTAAATCTCATCTGGTCGTCCATGCCGTAGGTGCACTTCTCGAAGGAACGCCAAAACACGGCGGCTCTCTCGCTCGTGGCCGTGTCAGAGTAAAAAGGAACGATGACCTCTACGGCGTTCCTCAACTCGGTGAGAATCCCAATGTTAGGGGCGTTCCGATACGAGCGGTCTCCGATAGTTGCCGTTCCATATCGGCCATCCTGGCCACCGATAGAGTAGGCCATCGGCTCGTAAGGCAGTCCTGAGCTCGTCGGGTTCCTCCCACTCTGTCTGTCGTCGTAGCTCGGTACTCTAGTACCAGCTTGCCCGCGAAACTCTCCGCCAGTGGTGGCATGTCGCCCACCCGCCTCCCAGATAGCAGACGTTGGAGCCTCCGAGGATACCGGTGCCGAGGTCCAGGCGGGTCGCGTCCCATGGGCGCTCCATCCAGACGTAGGCGTCACAGGAGGTTAAGAAGGAGAGTATAACGCCCCGGGAAGAGGCGATCCTGCCCCTCGACTGCTCCAGCCAGGCTGAGGCGTTTGGATTGAAACGCCTCCATACGAAGGGATCGCCGCCATCGGCATCCCTGTCGGATTCGCAGCTACCGTTCCCGGAGTCATCCTTGGGTTCGCGGCCTCTAGGCTCCGGCGGTCTTCCATTGACGAGGGCGCAGCTCGTGCTTGGCGCAACCCTCCCGACGCATCGTTCAGCGAGAGGCCACGGAGCGCTTGTTGGAAGGTGTCTATTAAGAGCGCTTGGAAGGTCGAGTCTGTGTCTCGCGTTCCACTTCCAACAGTCGATGTCACGGTGGACCGAGTAGGGCCCTTCCTCGCTCCTCCAGTCGAGACGTTAGCTGGGGCCGCGGTCCTTGCGTCCCAGGAGCGTTCCTCCTCGCTCCTTCCCAATCCTGGTCCTTGCGGACCAGCGGCAGCCGTCACGTCCCTCCCTTCTCCTTCAACAGGTCCCGAGGATAGGCGGGCTGGGTCAAATGTGAACGCCACGCCCCGTCGACTTCCTGGAGCAGCAGTTGTAGGTTCTGCTCGCGGGTGGGACGCTGCGCCGGTCAGTTCACTAGGATCAGGTTGGCTGGTGAGCTGCAGCAAGAGATCTTGAAACTGAGCCCGACCTCTGGGGGTCTCGAGCAGAGAGGTAATCCTCCCTCTCGTTCGGGGAGATGCGAGAGCCCCGTCGAACAGATTGTCATCGTCACCTTGAGCCGCCTGAGCCTCGTAGCCTTCAGCCGCTTGTTGATCTTGACCTCGCGTTCCGCGGGTTCGCTTTCGACGTGTTCTCTCTCTCCAATAGGAGGTTCTCTTTGCGCGTTCTCACCCGCATTTCCTTCCACACGCGCCGCTTCTTCTTCCTCTGGAACTTCGGAAAAGGGCAGCGCTCCTTCGCCCAACGTGTCGGACAGGTCGTGGAAGCTCATAGCGTACCTACTGTCCCTCCTTCTTGTTCAGGCGCTCCGTTGCCTGAAGTCTTGTAGCGCTCTCCTCCGCTCTTACGTTCCTACGATTTTTCGGTAAGAAGATACCCTGCTTCTCCACCAAATTATCGCGGTATTCCTCCTTGATCGGGGTCGTGTATCTTGCAGACCGACCGTAGGAACTTTTAACGTAATAAACGTAAAACAAATGTATTGCTTGTCTTCTCAGTTACTTGTGAGGTAAAGAGGAAAAACACGACTGAGCTGCTCTCCTCGACGTCCACGAGAGAGACCAGCTCCCTACCGCTCTACAGATCCTCCTACGTGGCGGTCCACTGCAGGTCTTGAGATCAGCCATCGACAGGTGTTCCTTTTTATGCCGGGAACGCCGACGTCGGAGGCGAATGACCCAGTTGGTTAGACGTGGGCGATTCACCTGAAACGCGTTGAGCTTCTGAATGCATTCGGCGAGAAGGTCGAGTCCCTCATCCAGCCGTATACCGTGACAAGTGGACCGGGTCTCCGGCAGTTTCAGTAATATGGACGAATGCCGTTTACAGTTTCGCCAGGGCAAGCGTTCAATGCGGCATTGTAAGAACCAGCGAACTACTCCACGTCACCCGTCAGCATCCACTTTCTTTGGTAGTAGAGCGGATTTCAGCGGGGAAATGGGTTTGACGCTTGTCCTCAAGGACTCGAAGGAAAAAGATTTTCACAAATCAAATTCGTTTTAGAAATTGGCGAGTGAGGTTTGTGACCTTTCTTCTGTGCTGAGTCAATTCTCGTGTCTCGTTAATAGTAAACAATACATTGCAATGTAAAATACAGGAAAAAATCTGTCCAATAAGATAACTGTAGCTTTTCACCAAAACGTGTGTTCAAAATTTATGATCTGTCCAAAGGCAATTGTAGTCGTCCGGGTGCCAAATCGCGTGTAGTCTCGGGAAGTTCGTGGCGTCACGCAGCACCTTGCACTCTACCGCTTCAGGGATCCAGATCGACTGCAGCTCTGGCAGTCTTGGAATGCCTTCCACCGTCGTCACCGGTGTAAGTCCCAGATCCAGCAGCTCTAACCGTGTGAGTGTAGCCAACGGAGTCGCGTCTTCCACTTTGGTCGCGTTCAACCACAGTCGACGCATCTTTCGCATCCCTGAAAGCAGCGCAGCGTCTTTAAAGTCCACGCGCCCGACAAGAGACAATTCCTCCAGCTTCGTTAGCTGCAACAAGAACTCGAACGTCGTCTGATGCTCCTTGTGGCGACGTGCTAGTTGTCGTTTGCCACGATCCGGTAGAGAGAGCACTAGTTTCTCTAAATTCACGAGTGCTCCAAGCGGAGACAAATCCTCAAATAAAACGTCTAATAACTCAAGTTGTGCGAGTTGAGTAAAACCTTCAAGAGGGAGGAGGTCCATGACCTGAGCTGTAGGCGGTAGCGACATAGACAATCGTGTAAGTGCCGGCATCTCGCCTAGTGCCACAATCTGGGCCAAGTCGTCCGCACACCATTGCTGGAGTCGCAGATGGTGTAGAGTGGACGCCATTAAGCTCAACGGCGCGTAGTCCGTGAGTGGCGGTAGTTCGAGCGACGTCACCGCCCCCTGTCTACTCAAATACTTAAGGAATGAGCTGGGCACACGGTGCGCCAAGGGGATCGTCAGTCCTCTTGTTGCAACTACCGTCGTCCCCCTCTCTTCCACGTCTTCTAGTAGAACGTCCGCGATGTCGTCTTGGTAGTTGTGTTTGTACACTCTTAGCTTCTTGAGTTGGTGGAGACTACTCAGCCACTCGTAGCTTACAGGTAGAACGGGAAGTTCACTCAGTTCTCCTCTCTCTCGCGTATCTAACAGCAAGTGCTCCAGCGACGCCAACGCAGCCAATGGACGTCGATCCCCCACATGTGTCCACCGGATATCGAGATATATCAAATTTGGCAGGCTCGTCACAAAATCGAGATCGGCTAACCTCGTATTCTGCACGTGCAGAATCTCGAGGTCGGGGCAACGCAACGTCAGCGCCAACGCGTCAGACGCGCCCATGTTCGTGACCTTCAGTGACCTCAACGCCGTCAAATGTCGCAGCACACTCAGATCTGTCGTGACCCAATTCTTGCTAATATCGAGCGTCTCTAATTTCGGTGACAGAAATTTGAGGGCACTAAATTCGACAACTTTCGTCTCGGACACGTCCAGAGCATGGAGCTCCGGTAGAGCCTCCAAGACAGCCAAGCTCGCCACATTGGTGCGTCGGATACTCAGCGACTGTAGGTGGGGCAGCACTACCAGTGGGGCCAGATCCACCACGTCGGTTTCTGCCAAATCTAAGGCCCTTAAATTCCACCCGGTAGGTTGAAGGGCTTTATTTTCGGGACATTGTTCGGCTACGTCCAGTAGCTCGGCGAGCGTAATATCGGCGTCTGCGACGGTCAGTTCCTGTAGTGTCGGTATGAGTTGTAGCACCGCCGCTACGTTGATGGCAGGCTCCTCCTCCTCGGGCGCGTCCTCCTCGGGAGTCCAGTACGGGTAGTCCCAGAACCGCAGAGAGCGTAGAGCAGGTAGAACACGCAGCAGATTCAGCAAGTGCATACCCGTACGCGGCACCCTGATGGTCGTAATACAGCGCATCATCTCGGGCTTCATGTGGCGCAAGAAACTGTCCGCATAGTAGCTGGCAGTCGGCAGCTCGTCCGTCTGGTTGGTGAGAGGCGGCGGGGGCACGCGTAGTACGCCCTGGGACAGCACGAAGCGGCGCAAGTCCGAGCTGGCCAGCGAGCGGCTGCAAGACGACAAGCACAGCCAGTCGCGGTACGAAAGGAAGCCCACGACGAATCGTAGCACGTCCGTTTTGCCGTCCAGATCACCCAGCACATGCTCCATCGTCTTGCTTGTCGAGATTTTTCTAATCTAGAACATGTATTTCTAAGCTTAATTTGCAAACATCAAAACCAAAAACACGTAAAAGTAAATATTTGCAGTTTCAGCACTAAAATGTACAAGTACGCGCTCTTGAAAATTGAAGGTTTCTTTCCTATTGTGCTTGATCGCACTGGTTGCAGAATGTGTCAGTAAAAGTGAAGAATAGCGGATGCTGTTGTCATGTCGAAAGCTGCGAGTAAGGGGCTGCAGTTTCATGCCGAGGAATGTCCCGGGCCAAGTGCGCTACGTTGCTTACGTGTTCGGCTGTGTGATACTGTACATGTAGCTCCTCACAATGGAGTCAAATCGCGAAGAAGGTGAGACGGTCGCCTATTCAGCAGCGCCGAACGAGCTTGGCTGCTGCATTTTCAGGACGAAAGAAATCCCTGGAAAATGTATAACCGTCCAGTAAGTAGTAACGCATCGGTCACCTTGGCTGGGCCATTGGACATGATCCCAGCACTCATCCACTACAGCAAAAGAAAACTTCCTGGGCTCGATGGTCTGTAAGAAAACTCTCGGGCGACTAGCTCAACACAAATCTTTGAGAAACAACCACAAACGTTTCTCTCAAACAACTTGTGAAGCTTAGAAAGTGACAGCAGCGCATGAATCTGCGAACATGCTCAGATGTTTTGAGCCT